GAGTGCTTGAGATTCCTCTTGAGGTATAGAATTCAACAGTAAGTAAAAATTTCATTATATACGTAGTTACATACATAAGCTTCCAATACCTTTTTCTCACAAATTCTTTCATAACAAGCAGAACATGTCATTGAGAAGTGAAAAATTGTCATTTTAAGTTCCTGTAAACACAAGAAGGAGGAACAGCTGCGGGAATTTTATATTTGCTCTTTTTATTACGCCACGTCTAAGCTGAAGTTTTTCATTTAAAGTGATATCCAGATGCCATCGGATTGACACTGACTTGTATGAATGCGATGGACTTTCAAATAGCAATAAATTGAACTCTTCTCGAAGTTACTTAAAGGTCGATGTCCCTTAAATGTCTTTAAACTTTTTCAGAACAATGAATGAGAGAAACCCCTGTTTCTGCCAGTGAAAGGATTAGACTTAATTTAGGATAAAAATCTTAAAATACTCATCTTTCTGTTGCCACTGACACGAATGCTCTTCGCTATTACGTTGAATGTAAGCTATAAGGGACGGCGTAAATCGAATCGATTGAGGCTAATGGGCAGTGGTCGAAGATAACGTAGAGTTCGTGTTCTAGGTTATTTCTTGTAAAGTTCCATGGTATTAGATGAAATAGTTTGAGTTTCAGGGTAGTGTTTCTTCATGTTTAGTATTATAATTAGCATCTTTAATTGATGACCATGGTGCGGAACGCAATCAAGATGCAATCTTTCATCATCGCTGTAGGAACTGTAGGTATTACCCCAATGAAGATATCTCTCACTGTAAACGAAACGTCTGTGAATGACCTATTCATGTGCCTTCATGAAATACAATTTTCATCAATTGGTGGTTTTCCTGATTGAGGAGCTACTTTTTGGGAGACATTTACATAAACTATTTTCTTATTTCTTAAAACTAATGCCTATATGTATATAAGTAATTTGAAAAATGTAAAAAGGAAATTATTGATGCTTTAATCAATCATATGGTGCAATTTCAGAGTGATTGATTGGATAACAATCGAGATATTCGTAGTCAAAGTAGTAAATTCTTTAATTCTTTTCTTCAGTCTCAAATTATTTCCTGAATTTTATTCTTTGATGCCCATTTTTGCTGTTTCTTCACAATCTTGTAGCCTCAAAATGTCTCTTCCTGCTGACTACATGTTCTGCATTTTCATTCAATATTTTTTATCAAGTGTTTGTTTTTTTTTGCCTTACAATACAAGATATTTACATTTACAAATTTATGGACGATTCTGCAACAATAGTCATAACCCTCAGGATAATTGGTACGTGAACTGCTTTAAGTTCCGCCCATTTGTGGTATATTTAATGTTGCCCTTTAGGAAAGATCCATTCTGCATTTTTAATGAGAGTCCCTATCTATACAAATAGCTGATCTATTTGAGAACGAAACATTTCTCTACTTTATTTCCTGGAAACGAGTTTCAATTCCGCATTCAATTGAAAGTGCCCTCCAGACGGTGCATCTGCGCACCTGATCTTTCTGTCCAAGAAGAACGATTCGGTCTATTATATTTTTCCCAAAGGAATACAATATTCCATCGTTAGGTTTCGATTGCATCAAGACGTACACCTACCTATTTTAAACGTCAGGATTACTACCAGTGACGTGGAAGTAAGAGTAGGAACAAGTTTATTCGCAAAATTTGAAAATATTTGATGATTGTTGATGTGGTTGACATTGACAAGTTTTAAGAAATTGCTAAAACAATTGTTTAATTATTACGCTAAAAGTTGAGAATTTTATTTAATTAAAATGAAGATAGAAGGACATTAACCTTTTGATCAACTGGATCTCGATTTCGAATGAGTGTGATTGATAATATAATTAATTGAATGTAAGTAATGTAATGTAACTCCAAAGATTGAAGGTCGAAGTCAACTCATTTACCCATTTACTTTCGTCCAATTATTTGAAAAAGTTGGACGATTGGATCTATGAAGTGCATTCTTCGGCTTCAAGACCAAGAAGCTCAAAATCTGTTAATTAACTGCAATCCATCACATCAACGAAAAGAAAAGATTTAGCCAGAAGTTCACCAATTGGCACCCGCATCGCTATGCTGAAGGCTATGTCACGGCGCTTATACTTAAACTTTTGAACGTTGTTGTTCCATTAGGTATTCACACTCAATCAATGATTATCAAAGAGAGGATTGTTGTGATCGATTTGGTATCATCTGATGTGAGACATATAATGAGCGATTAATTTTGAAATCGGCCATTTATTTTCTCAATTATTTATTCTATTTTTGATCCTTTTTACCAAATATACAAATTACACACTTCTTTGTCGGCATTCTTTTCTTTTTATATTGCACGAACGAAAATGCATTATTTGGCCAACCTGTGGTATAAATTACTTTGTCTGAAATTATCACCTGCTTCTCTAAAGACTATCCTAAATTTACCGAATTCCCAAAATCATCATCATGAGGTCTTCAGCCCCAACTTTCACTTCTTCCTAACTTGAGACAATCTTCGCATTTCTCGGAAACTCGAAGAACATATATCTTTACCTATTTGCCAACAGTAATCTACTTTTATCCCTCTTAGGTTCCGTTTCTGCTTCTAATATGTTTCTAACTAGTGCTTTATGTTTGCGAAGGTGTCCAACCACCTTACCTCTCTCATTTCTTATTGATTTTCATAACACGCTCTCTTCTACTCTTTGCAATATCTCCTGTGGTACTTTTAATATCCTCTGATAACACCACATCTCAAACAATTATCTACTGAATTAATAGAATATCCCTGTGTTCGCATTTCAACTCGCCACCAGTGTATTATATTGGCAAGCATAATATTTTATACGTGTCCGTCACATGTTGTTTCAAGTTTATGTTCCAGAATAAATATCGCACGTGAATGACGTTCAAAGAAAGGTGGTGAAATCTGGAAGTTGTACAAACATGAGCACTTTCTTTAAAAGCTTATGCGTCGACTTCAAAGCGGTCGCAGTACGTATGTGTGTATTTGGCATCAAAGGGGAGAGTTATGACGGAGCCCGACCTTCTTTCCGTCTCCCGCTTCGCTTCGAGGTTAACATATTCGACCTGGAAATATTTACAGCGAGTTGCAGGAACGCAGAGTAGCTTTTGAAGTGCACAAATGCGCAAATAGTAACTAAAAAAAGTTTCGCTGTACGTTCAAAAGAAAAACAGCCAAGGAGGCTGTGGGTAAAGTGGTTGCCGACGGGTAAGTAATATCTGACGGAAGTTTTCAAATATCTCGAACGTTTTCGATTGTTTTGTTACCCACTCTAAACCGTTTTGTGCTTTGCGTCGTTTCAGTAACAGGGCACGAAGTTTTACAGGGAATTAAAGGCAGTGAAGATAAGCTGAACAAATACACGCCGGTTAATAACACTGGTTTCGAGTATCTCTGAACTATAGTTGCATATATCGAATATCGTTGATGATTGAATATTGACAACTGAAGATGACTATGACAACTTCAAATTTCTTTTATGACGACGTGAAAACAGAAAGAAAGTGAAAGATTATCTGTGGAATATATTACCGTAGCGTTTGCCTGAATGATTTGAGGAAACCATAAAACAATTTCAATCAGAAGTGGAACGGATGTCCTTCCGAATGCTAAACTATTACCTAAAGTTCAAACAACATGTCAAGTTAGTGGCAGTAGTTCTTAGGCTTTCACGGCCGGCGTATATCGATGCGGTGTCTTCTTCCGGCCTTTTTGGTCGTGGCCCGTGGAATTTTACTTTTTCAAACGTTTCGCCGTTCTTTGCTGATGGCATCTTCAGTGGTGACTGCGCACTGACAGCACCAGCCGGTGAAACGTTTCGAAAAGTAAAATTTCAAGGACCACGGCCAAAAAAGCCCGGAAGAAGACAACGCATCGAAGTTAGTGGCAGTAGATACAGGCTGATCCGTTTCTAGTTTTACCTTCTAAGTGTGATGAAAAAATGTCCACTTTTTCATATACATGTCTGGGCACGATGCCTTCTACACTATATATCTGATCAATATTCCGGAATGTTTGAAGAGTAAGATCCAAAGGCATTGTAGAGTGCATTTCGTGATAGCACCACAACGTAGGGGGTGTAACAAAAAGTACCCCAGTTAACTAGCCGTGAATGGTTGAGGACAGTTGTCAGTTTGGCAGCCGCGTTATATATGCGCCGTTAGTTGTAGTAAACGTCAAGTGACGAAACACTCATACCTACCGTGACCTTCGCAACAGTTGATACACAGACAAGTCAATTGTACGTTATTATTAGTAGCCTGAACCTCAGCAGTTACTACTCGATTTTCACAGTTGACAGCAATGACAATGAGCAGTTGGGGCTTTCGGTAAAGTCATTACTCTCATGTTTATATATACTACTGAGCGGTGCAAGATGGCTCATTTTATATCTTTTTCATGTACCTATTTCTCCCTTAATTTTTTCGGAATACCTATTAGACATAGTGTAGGTATATACTCAACTTTAATAACTAAAATTTAGTTTATTATATTATTTTCGTTTGATGTACGATTGCATACTAACATGTAACGTATCAATATTTTATTTACTGGATTGATTGTGTATGGAGAGTGAGATCCCTGGTTTGCTTCCAGATTCGATTTTGTAGTCACAACGTTAAGCGAATGCTCCACTGTCCGTCGAAATAAACTTCAAAATTTATTCATGAACTTGAAGACGCGCTTGTGCCAATTGAATTTTTCCATGGAAAATGTAAAGTACGCGAATATTTGCTGGGTACACATCCCCAACCGAATAAGCATCCCAGTTTCCGTTGAATTTCTCATTAATATGTTCTATTTCGAATTCGCCAGCTAGTTGAATTCATTGAACATGTATAAATACATGTATGTATAGGTACGTGTGTGTATATGTATGAACATAGCGTAATATATGTGTGGCAATCCGTGCACACTCGTAATTGTGCATACGTGCAGTCCGCATGCATTAAAATCGTACAGCTTTGGAACGACCCAGTCGCGAGGTGCATTGTTCTGTACCAATTTGCGACATTCACACAGGCACTGGTACCGGCTAATTAATAGTAACTTAGTAGTAGGCAAAGTTTTCATTAGCAGCGCCGTTATTCTGTACGGGTGCCGTCGCACCGCCGCCCCTTGCTTTGTCTAATTCGGATTGGCAACGTAGGTGAATTGTAAAATAGAAATACGCTTTGACGCTATTGTTTGCTTTACGGTTTAATACGTTAAATACATATTTCAGAAAGTATGCATCCGATATTTTTCAAAAATTGGCTTCTACCATTAATGGGTCGTTATTAAATCGGATTCGGAATTTTTATCGAGAACAGAAGACAGCAAAAACAGTTTCTCTGAAAACGCTGCAGGTATGCCAAAAACAATTCATCATCTTCCACCTCCACTCCTTTCTATCCTGAGCTAAAACTAAAACATCCTACATCCTTAACTATTTACGAACAGTAATCTAATCTAAGTCTACCCCTTTCTCCTCTTAACTCCTGTTTCCGCCTCTAATATGTCTCTGACTAGACCTGACATGCCTGAGAAGGTGTCCTAGCAGCCTATATCACCTATAAAATTCCATAAAGTCAGTCCACTGTTCCCCTATTTTTTCTAACACATCTTCATTTCTAACCTTCTTTATCCACGGTATCCTCATCATTCGCTAGTAACACCACATTTCGAACGCTTTTAACCTTCTNATCTAGACCTGACATGCCTGAGAAGGTGTCCTAGCAGTCTATCTCACCTATAAAATTCCATAAAGTCAGTCCTCTGTTCCCCTATTTTTTCTAACACATATTCATTTCTAACCTTCTCTATCCACGGTATCCTCATCATTCGCCTGTAACACCACATTTCGAAAGCTTCTGACTTTTTCTTTTCCGCAGCGCCCACCGTCCATGTTTCGCACCCGTACAGCGCCGACCTCCAAACATAGGTACTCCTTTAGCAACCTCTTTTGAATTTCTAAATTAAGCGTTCGCGAGCATAGAAGTGATTTCTTTTTATTGAAGGCTACTCAACCCTGCGCTATCCTCTGCTTTATTTCCCTACTACTCCTTCCATCGTAACTTATTTGACACTATATATTGTATCTACCTAGATAAAGGAAAAATCTGGATCCATGTTGCGCTAGTCAATCTGGAGTTCAACCGGGAAACATGGACAAACAACGTGTAGGAATTTCTTCATCCTACTCTTAGTCTATGTCTAATATGTGATTCGTCGCGGCTCCAGTCGTCATCAGCCACGTTTTGCATGTAATCAGTATTGTATTTTAATATAATACTCGTTTCTTATAACAGCAATGACGAAGTCTAATCAGAGCTAAATTCCACAATAATAATAATTAATTCCAAAAACATAATTGTTTATTTTGTAACTAATATTACTTCAAGGATACAGAGTTGAGAATAAACTATATATTAATATTATCTTGTCGATTCACCTAACTAATCCATTACACATATAACATGTATGTTTATATATGGTTACCAATTTATTTTATCTTGTAAGTATTTAATTATTTATTAAAGGCAAAAGTTATCCCCTCGCCTTCCTGCCATCAGCCCATACCTACATATATGTATTTTGTTTTTCCCTTGTTATTAATTTATAATTAAAACGTTTTTTCATGCTTATATTCTGTTGTTATGAACCCCGATAAATTAATTAAATCTCGGACCATGTTTCATAAATGTAACAAAACGTTACTCCAAACCAATTTATCAGTGTAAGATCGGTTATTAATTAATAAAAGTTCTTAATTAACTTTATTGATTTTGGCAGCTACAAAACCGGCATTTTCAGCGTGTAATTGATTAATTAACAACATAAAAAATAATATCCTTTATATGGGTTTTGATTTGCGACATTCGATGGCAGGTTAATACCTAATAAGTTTTGGTTACATGATATTACATCTGAATGGCAATTTGTTCAATCAAAAATACGTAATGAGTTTTTTTAATTAAGGAAGTTAATTTTCTTTTTAATAAACTTTACATCTAAAAATATCTTATAAAATGAAAGCCAAAATAATGCTTAATGAAATTACATAAAAGGTCTCTTATTCAAGTAGGGAGAGGTTTCTTGTAAAAAGACGGTTAGTGTTGTAGGAGTTGTCTACAGCGTGCTAATGAGACCTAAAGAGATTGAAATTGCGATCTGTGATGTTTGACGGAATATTGAATAAGATCTTTTGGGTAACTCATGAACAACTCCAATGTAAAGCATCCATTTTAGTAAAAAGGCTCATTAAAGCCTGTAGAAGTTTTACAACAGGCACAGATTTTGCCATTCGAACATTTTAGACCTAAATGTGGAACAAGTGGAAGAAAAGAAAAAATTTACGATACATTATGCAGAAACATTAATAAAATACGTTATAATCTGTGCGGCTAGGATTGGGTTATTTCCCGCGGATAAAGCAGAGCGTTACTTCTATTTCGCCACGTCCATTAGTACAAGATCGTATAAGTGGCTTACAAACAGGCAATTACCTTAATTGCAATAGCATGACGACAATAGCGCGATTAGTGACACAAAATGGCTCCTAAGATCCACAACTGCGAAGGAATAAGAAGAAGCGAAGGTGTGGTGCTTGGACCGAGTGAAGCGCCTTCAAGAGAAACACTTAGAAACTAAATGCATTTGTCACTGTCGACGTCTCATGTTGAATTAATCCTTCCCACAGGGTAAATACAACCTACTACAACATATTATAGAAATATATTACTTTTATGTACTGTACATAGACTTTACATTAGATCCAATAATATTACAGATGATGGAAGCAAAAATTGACTGTAAAATATTTCGTCTCTAGATAATAGTGTTCCAGCACGAAGTGGTCGTGCATTATTATCTCCATTTTACCAACGCGAAGTGTCCTTCTTCTTTCAAATTATAACCAGACAATTCTTTACATAGTGCAGTAGACGTTTTAACTACACCTCTCGTCATTTTGCCTAAGTGCATGCTGGTATTTAATATGCAAGGCGTACAGAATGGAATCAAAAATTTCTGTATGCATAAAATGGATCGTTCTCTCCAAATAATTTTCAGACAGTTCTCCAGAGGAATGAGCTTCTATCTTTGGGCACTTTAAACTTTATTGATCTTGCTTGTGACCTTTTCAACTCATTTCAAGAGAATATCTTATTCTTAGCGGGCGGATGGAAAATAAACAGCTCTTTAATCTTGAATTCGTTAGTAAACTAAAAAATACGTTTTTTGATCGTTTCCTATTGGATTTCTCGCGTCAGAAAAGGGAATTTATTTAAAAGGAAGCAGGCGTGGGTGTTATTTTCACGATTCAATATTCTTTTATACGAGTGTGCATAAAAAATAAAGCCTTAATCGCTTTAGACTTTATTACAATATTTTTATAATCAGTTTTCTTTTTGTCAATAAATTGTATTTTTTGAATAAATGTAACCACTGCTCAAAAGTATAAAGTTGTTTGTGAGTTGTAGATATGGTGCTTTCTTAAACATAAAATACTGTTTAAAATATTTTCTTTACAAACTGTATCGTGAAAACATTTTCCCATTTCCTTTGTAAGGTAAATTATTCAAAGCAATTTCAATATTCTTTTGAAAGCACTAAACAAGAGGGCGTTATGGAAGTTAATAAGAAATAGGCGAGATAGGTTGGTAGGACACCTTCTCAGGCATGAAGGTATAGTTAGAGGCATATGAGAAGCAGAAATAGGAGTTAAATAGAGAAGAGGTAGATGTAGTTAGAGTATTGCTCACTAATAGTTAAAGATGTGGGGGATGTTCTAGTTTTAGCGAAATACAAAGATTAGTTCAGGTTATTAGGAACGAATGGAGTTGCGTATCCAACTAGTTTTAGGACTGCAACCTTATGATGAAGAAACAACTAAGTGTTATGAAAACGCTTGTTTTCGACTCGCACTACTAGTCATGATTAAACAAAACCTTTGGCAGGTACTGTATGTAAAAGTATGTTTAATGAACGTCCTGCGTATCCTTCCTACCTACGATTTTGCCAGCGCGCATCCAAGACATTATAAGGGGCACATCGCTAAAGAAAGTAAATGAAGTATACCTTACCTACTTAACTACCTACTGCAGCAATCCATAATACCCATTCGTAGCTGCGACCATGACATAATATTATCAAGCGATAGCTTCCTTAGTTTGAAGATTGGTATTCTAAAATGGCATTTCACTCCAATTAAAATAGATGTGAAATCAATTAATGAATTGTGGTTCATCGAGTCTGATTAGTTTCACTTTCGATTCGCTTTACATTCTCCGATAGAATCAAGCCAAATGTTGCGATTACTCAATTGCAAGATAGCGGTCCGTTGAACGTTACGATAACATTTGTTATTTCCATTAATCAAGTCGTTAATGGCTTTGATAAATGTACAATTTATATTTTGGTCCAAAATCTACAAATTATGGATGTTGTAGAACCGAATGGTTCAACGTATATGTCACTGGAAAGGATTTAGAGATTGATATATTCGACAGCTGCGATAAAATAGCTAAACTGCATTGGATTTTATTTGATTCGTCATCAATTCCATTGTAATAGGTGTACATCGATATCATAATACTATATTATGTATTTTGAATGCACAAATGTAAACAACATTATAAGTTTCTACCTGCGAAAAACGCAACTACTTCATGGGATCAAAAAACGTATTTTTTAGTCGAATGATTACTCAATGTATCCACTTGTATATATCTTCTCCATTTCAATAATCCTTTCTGTAATTTTTGAAACATTAATTCAACTATATTATAATATTCAGATCTTAGAAGTTTTTGGTATCCTTTTGAGTTATTGCATGAACGTAGAATCTTCACAATTGGGACGACACGGTGTGATGATTAATCAAATTTTAGACAATTCTAGTTTCTTTGTTAATTGAATCCTTTGAATCCTTTTGGTAACACTGAACGTAGAATCCTCCGAATCATGAAGACACAATGAGTGGAAGGGTTTAATTTTTGAAACCATTTTATCATTAAAGTAAATTCATTTTAAGGATTGGATAGTGAATGTTTGTGCAAAACCACGTTGGTCAAGACTCACATAGGTGCGTCTATAATTTTCTAATGATTCTTCTGACAGTATGCAAAGGCAGTTTCTTATCAAATGTTAACTGTCTATTTAGCCAAACAGGAAAAATTACTTTGTGGTAATGGCAATGATGCATGTTCGAGGCTAACCATTTAAGGAATTTATTTCCTTATGCTGAAGTTGTTTTTTGCTTTTAAACAGTAGGTTTAAAGGGCGTTGCTATACGAATTAGCGCATTAATTCTGCACCCAAAGTGTTTTGTTTGTTGTAATTAATTCTGTCGATGTGGAGAATTAAAACGTTGCTTTCACTCGGTACTGAGACTGATTTCAACTCGACCATTTTATTAACGAGTGCCCGAAAGCATTACAAAATAATTGAGACGTGAAAGCTTTCTCGTAGCAACGCGTTAGTGTATGAAGTTTCCACTCCTTATTCCTTCGATCTTCCTATCGCCCTGGTTCGTCCTTAGTCGCGTCACCTTTTACGTCAGGATTTTAATTTACTTCAATGACATCATAAAAGCTAATGCATCGAGAAGTCCCGAAAAAGAACCGTTAGCATAGGTATTCAAAAAAAAAAAAGAAAGAGGGAAGAGCGGATGAAACAAACAAAAAACCTAAAACTGTGTAGGTAATCTAATTGGCACTCGAAAGCAAACGACGCGGAAAAGGAAAGATAAAGTAGTCCTACGGGACCAAGGTAGGTACTTCACTAGAATTGTACCTAACTACTTTCAAAAGGTTAAGAAAGCTTTAACACGTTTTAAAGCTTTGTTTTCTATGGGAACGCCTTCTTTCATCAGAAAATGTAACAAGAACCTAATAATAAGACTCTTTTGATTCTACACGTTGAACAAGTTGGAATCTATACGATTCTTTGTAGTTAATTGATGCAAAGGAAGAGAGGTGTATCTACGATTTTATTTACGGAAGGAGTTTTGTAACAAAAACGTAAGAGCAACTTTCATATGTGAATATATAACAAACTGAATGATTGACCAAATGGTAAAAAGTGGGATTGAATATGTTCAAGGCATACAGGACTTAAAAAGTATCGGGAAAAGCTTCGGAATTATTTTAGATATTGCTACAAAACCTTAAAATTCTTTAAAGTACGTCTCTTGAGTGTCGACATCCTTTTGCCAGAGGCTTTTCCACGACCTAAAGGTCCTTAAGGGAACGTGTGCAAGGTTCTTTGTTGGCACTTATGGTTCCATGATGGTGTCTTTTGAGGAAGAATTTCAGTCTGCTGGGGCCAAATTATGACTGTAAGGAGGTTGGGGATATGTTGTGACGTCGTTTTGCGTGAGGTAGTCGGCCACCTTAGAGCAAGTGTTGGTGAGTGCATTATGATGTTGCAATTTACAATTTCCGACAATTGCTGATCTCACCTGGTTGACTCTTCAATCTACTTACCACTTTTAGGTAAAAAGTACCATTCACTGTCTACCTTTTAGGTACAAATTGTGTAGTGAACTACCCTTTGGCATCGTAAAAATCGGTTGTCTGTAAAGTCGGTTTACTGACGATAGTTGAACGTGACAACGTCATAAGAAAATACTGATGGAATGGTTTCATTTTTTAAAAGAAAATTTTAATTTTATTTGTTTGATAGATATTTTGTATGGATATAGAGAAGGAGGTAAATGGAAATGTATTACTGTATAGCAGCTGTCCACGCGGACGCATCGCTCACTCAAGTAGGACAGAGACAGATGTCGAACGCTGCCGAACGCGGAGGCCGATTGTGCCTCTTTGTCGCTCGTTCCGCGCTCTCGCTTGCACTTCAAGCCTTAAATGGAACGCCTCAGAGCGAGGTAACGCCGCATGAGTTTATGTTTTTTCGTGCATGCAGCCGGCTCCATCGAATTATAAAACGTTGTCACGTCAAAAACGATCAGTACCATTCACTGTATGTCTCTGAGGTACAAATTTCGTAGTGAATCAACCCCTTGGTACCATAGGAGATCATGAGCCTAACCTTCACTTTAGATTTGCCCACTCGAATTTTTTTTGGACGAGTTGATGCCGTAATGTGCCATTCGAAACTTTTTTTCCGGACGGTATTCGAAAAATTTCAAATCAAGTTTCGTCTAACGTGATTACGTTGTACAATAGTCTGGGTGTTCTTCAATGCGATGCAAGGTGCATTGTTCTGTACCAATTTGCGACATTCACACAGGCACTGGTACCGGCTAATTAATAGTAACTTAGTAGTAGGCAAAGTTTTCATTAGCAGCGCCGTTATTCTGTACGGGTGCCGTCGCACCGCCGCCCCTTGCTTTGTCTAATTCGGATTGGCAACGTAGGTGAATTGTAAAATAGAAATACGCTTTGACGCTATTGTTTGCTTTACGGTTTAATACGTTAAATACATATTTCAGAAAGTATGCATCCGATATTTTTCAAAAATTGGCTTCTACCATTAATGGGTCGTTATTAAATCGGATTCGGAATTTTTATCGAGAACGGAAGACAACAAAAACAGTTTCTCTGAAAACGCTGCAGGTATGCCAAAAACAATTCATCATCCTCCACCTCCACTGCTTTCTATCCTGAGCTAATCTTCGCATTTCCCTAAAACTAAAACATCCTACATGCTTAACTATTTACGAACAGTAATCTAATCTAAGTCTACCCCCTTCTCCTCTTAACTCCTGTTTCCGCCTCTAATATGTCTCTGACTAGACCTGACATGCCTGAGAAGGTGTCCTAGCAGTCTATCTCACCTATAAAATTCCATAAAGTCAGTCCTCTGTTCCCCTATTTTTTCTAACACATATTCATTTCTAACCTTCTCTATCCACGGTATCCTCATCATTCGCCTGTAACACCACATTTCGAAAGCTTCTGACTTTTTCTTTTCCGCAGCGCCCACCGTCCATGTTTCGCACCCGTACAGCGCCGACCTCCAAACATAGGTACTCCTTTAGCAACCTCTTTTGAATTTCTAAATTAAGCGTTCGCGAGCATAGAAGTGATTTCTTTTTATTGAAGGCTACTCAACCCTGCGCTATCCTCTGCTTTATTTCCCTACTACTCCTTCCATCGTAACTTATTTGACACTATATATTGTATCTACCTAGATAAAGGAAAAATCTGGATCCATGTTGCGCTAGTCAATCTGGAGTTCAACCGGGAAACATGGACAAACAACGTGTAGGAATTTCTTCATCCTACTCTTAGTCTATGTATAATATAAGTGATTCGTTGCGGCTCCAGTCGTCATCAGCCACGTTTTGGATATATCTCCTGTGGTACTTTTAATATCCTCTGATAACACCACATCTCAAACAATTATCTACTGAATTAATAGAATATCCCTGTGTTCGCATTTCAACTCGCCACCAGTGTATTATATTGGCAAGCATAATATTTTATACGTGTCCGTCACATGTTGTTTCAAGTTTATGTTCCAGAATAAATATCGCACGTGAATGACGTTCAAAGAAAGGTGGTGAAATCTGGAAGTTGTACAAACATGAGCACTTTCTTTAAAAGCTTATGCGTCGACTTCAAAGCGGTCGCAGTACGTATGTGTGTATTTGGCATCAAAGGGGAGAGTTATGACGGAGCCCGACCTTCTTTCCGTCTCCCGCTTCGCTTCGAGGTTAACATATTCGACCTGGAAATATTTACAGCGAGTTGCAGGAACGCAGAGTAGCTTTTGAAGTGCACAAATGCGCAAATAGTAACTAAAAAAAGTTTCGCTGTACGTTCAAAAGAAAAACAGCCAAGGAGGCTGTGGGTAAAGTGGTTGCCGACGGGTAAGTAATATCTGACGGAAGTTTTCAAATATCTCGAACGTTTTCGATTGTTTTGTTACCCACTCTAAACCGTTTTGTGCTTTGCGTCGTTTCAGTAACAGGGCACGAAGTTTTACAGGGAATTAAAGGCAGTGAAGATAAGCTGAACAAATACACGCCGGTTAATAACACTGGTTTCGAGTATCTCTGAACTATAGTTGCATATATCGAATATCGTTGATGATTGAATATTGACAACTGAAGATGACTATGACAACTTCAAATTTCTTTTATGACGACGTGAAAACAGAAAGAAAGTGAAAGATTATCTGTGGAATATATTACCGTAGCGTTTGCCTGAATGATTTGAGGAAACCATAAAACAATTTCAATCAGAAGTGGAACGGATGTCCTTCCGAATGCTAAACTATTACCTAAAGTTCAAACAACATGTCAAGTTAGTGGCAGTAGTTCTTAGGCTTTCACGGCCGGCGTATATCGATGCGGTGTCTTCTTCCGGCCTTTTTGGTCGTGGCCCGTGGAATTTTACTTTTTCAAACGTTTCGCCGTTCTTTGCTGATGGCATCTTCAGTGGTGACTGCGCACTGACAGCATCAGCCGGTGAAACATTTCAAAAAGTAAAATTTCAAGGACCACGGCCAAAAAAGCCCGGAAGAAGACAACGCATCGAAGTTAGTGGCAGTAGATACAGGCTGATCCGTTTCTAGTTTTACCTTCTAAGTGTGATGAAAAAATGTCCACTTTTTCATATACATGTCTGGGCACGATGCCTTCTACACTATATATCTGATCAATATTCCGGAATATTTGAAAAGTAAGATCCAAAGGCATTGTAGAGTGCATTTCGTGATAGCACCACAACGTAGGGGGTGTAACAAAAAGTACCCCAGTTAACTAGCCGTGAATGGTTGAGGACAGTTGTCAGTTTGGCAGCCGCGTTATATATGCGCCGTTAGTTGTAGTAAACGTCAAGTGACGAAACACTCATACCTACCGTGACCTTCGCAACAGTTGATACACAGACAAGTCAATTGTACGTTATTATTAGTAGCCTGAACCTCAGCAGTTACTACTCGATTTTCACAGTTGACAGCAATGACAATGAGCAGTTGGGGCTTTCGGTAAAGTCATTACTCTCATGTTTATATATACTACTGAGCGGTGCAAGATGGCTCATTTTATATCTTTTTCATGTACCTATTTCTCCCTTAATTTTTTCGGAATACCTATTAGACATAGTGTAGGTATATACTCAACTTTAATAACTAAAATTTAGTTTATTATATTATTTTCGTTTGATGTACGATTGCATACTAACATGTAACGTATCAATATTTTATTTACTGGATTGATTGTGTATGGAGAGTGAGATCCCTGGTTTGCTTCCAGATTCGATTTTGTAGTCACAACGTTAAGCGAATGCTCCACTGTCCGTCGAAATAAACTTCAAAATTTATTCATGAACTTGAAGACGCGCTTGTGCCAATTGAATTTTTCCATGGAAAATGTAAAGTACGCGAATATTTGCTGGGTACACATCCCCAACCGAATAAGCATCCCAGTTTCCGTTGAATTTCTCATTAATATGTTCTATTTCGAATTCGCCAGCTAGTTGAATTCATTGAACATGTATAAATACATGTATGTATAGGTACGTGTGTGTATATGTATGAACATAGCGTAATATATGTGTGGCAATCCGTGCACACTCGTAATTGTGCATACGTGCAGTCCGCATGCATTAAAATCGTACAGCTTTGGAACGACCCAGTCGCGAGGTGCATTGTTCTGTACCAATTTGCGACATTCACACAGGCACTGGTACCGGCTAATTAATAGTAACTTAGTAGTAGGCAAAGTTTTCATTAGCAGCGCCGTTATTCTGTACGGGTGCCGTCGCACCGCCGCCCCTTGCTTTGTCTAATTCGGATTGGCAACGTAGGTGAATTGTAAAATAGAAATACGCTTTGACGCTATTGTTTGCTTTACGGTTTAATACGTTAAATACATATTTCAGAAAGTATGCATCCGATATTTTTCAAAAATTGGCTTCTACCATTAATGGGTCGTTATTAAATCGGATTCGGAATTTTTATCGAGAACAGAAGACAGCAAAAACAGTTTCTCTGAAAACGCTGCAGGTATGCCAAAAACAATTCATCATCTTCCACCTCCACTCCTTTCTATCCTGAGCTAAAACTAAAACATCCTACATCCTTAACTATTTACGAACAGTAATCTAATCTAAGTCTACCCCTTTCTCCTCTTAACTCCTGTTTCCGCCTCTAATATGTCTCTGACTAGACCTGACATGCCTGAGAAGGTGTCCTAGCAGCCTATATCACCTATAAAATTCCATAAAGTCAGTCCACTGTTCCCCTATTTTTTCTAACACATCTTCATTTCTAACCTTCTTTATCCACGGTATCCTCATCATTCGCTAGTAACACCACATTTCGAACGCTTTTAACCTTCTCTTTTCCGCCGCGCCCCCCGTCCATGTTTCGCACCCGCACGTCTCTGTACTCCAAACATACATCTTTAACAACCTTTTTCAAATTTCTAAATTAACCGTTCGCGAGCATAGAAGTGATTTCTTTTTATTGAAGGCTACTCAACCCTGCGCTATCCTCTGCTTTATATCTCTACTACTCCTTCCATCGTAACTTATTTGACACTATATATTGTATCTACCTAGATAAAGGAAAAATCTTGNAGAGACAGATGTCGAACGCTGCCGAACGCGGAGGCCGATTGTGCCTCTTTGTCGCTCGTTCCGCGCTCTCGCTTGCACTTCAAGCCTTAAATGGAACGCCTCAGAGCGAGGTAACGCCGCATGAGTCATGTTTTTTCGTGCATGCAGCCGGCTCCATCGAATTATAAAACGTTGTCACGTCAAAAACGATCAGTACCATTCACTGTATGTCTCTGAGGTACAAATTTCGTAGTGAATCAACCCCTTGGTACCATAGGAGATCATGAGCCTAACCTTCACTTTAGATTTGCCCACTCGAATTTTTTTTGGACGAGTTGATGCCGTAATGTGCCATTCGAAACTTTTTTTCCGGACGGTATTCGAAAAATTTCAAATCAAGTTTCGTCTAACGTGATTACGTTGTACAATAGTCTGGGTGTTCTTCAATGCGATGCAGAAAGTTTTCGCAAGCAGACACTCGCGTTTGCTTTTGGTCCTACATAGATCTTCGGAACGAATTTGGCGTAGATCTTGTTCATCGCCAATTTTTTAATCATTATGGTGTGCACTGCCAAGTTATCAATGCTAATTCGATCCACGATTATGCATTAATAATTATTAAACCTTGTTTGGCAATGGAGTAAGGTGGGTAGCTAATGGATCTAGAGGTACCTAAAGGGTGCCTTCTGCAATTTGTATATGTGAGAAAAATCCTCTGCAGTTTACAAACAACAGTTTTTAGAATTTCCTTGAATTACGTATTTTTGCTTAACATAAGACGTAGATCACCTTTGGTATACCAAACCATTAGCATAAATAGTATGTTTTGGTTTTTGTTGTTGTTTAGGACCTAAGTATAATTTTAAACAATGGTACATTATATCCATGTACTGTTTTAAATGTCCTCTATTTTACAGCATAATTAAAATATTGTTGCTTGTATAATGTACACATTTAGAAAATGTGGAAAGTCTTAAACATCTTAAGCATGGAAATTTGAATTAAAAGGTTGTAATAAATGCGGAAAAATGTAAAGCATACTGACTAGCTGATACGCTTGGGTCCCTCTGGTATTGTAACGTCTCCTGATTTTATCTGACGATGAGATCGGGTTGGGTATTATGCAGGATGGTGCACAATTTCCGGTTAATCAAAAGCCAACTATGTTGTAGGTGAAGATGTGCTTTCGCAGCGAAATCGGTTTGTGATGAGAACAAGAACAGAGAATTTATATTTCATATGGGAAATCGGTGGATATTTAACAGAGAAGGGATGCTACAAATACAGGTTGACTTTTGCTTTCAGAATTGTTTTCTAAAATGTACTACTAATTGTTTATAGTAATCGAATTGTTTGTAGTAGATATTGTTAGGTATTATTACTACAATCAATAAACAATTACAAAAAGTAGCCTAAACTACCCCTGACACTCAAGTGTCTCTGACAGTATTTACAGTACTATAAGGAATTTACTATTTACTCAAACCATCTGCAGTAGTAGTACTATTGGTAGGTAATACTTTAGGTAGTTAAAGTGCATTATAATTGATCTTAAGGGAGCTCTGTTGCGGTTCTTCTTTAAATAGGTATTTACGTAGTCTCTTTGTTCATGTGAACAAACTTAAACTGAGGTCTTATTAAAGTAGTAACCGCTGTGGATACATATTTACTTATAATTGTCTCCGCTTCAGCTTTTGGGAAA